CTTTCTTCTCTGAATCTGTTAGAAATCTGTTTGTGTAGTGGTCGAATATTTTACGAAATCAGGATTGTTTTTGCAAAACATTGTTTTATTTTTCACTACGACCCAAGATTTGCCATCTCACCGATCCGCCATTTTTTTGATATTAGCTATGAACTATTAGGTGCAAAGAATATTTTTGTATCATCATCATATACTAGATTTTTGTTTTCATTTTCGATAATTGTCATATTCAAGAGACGTGTGTCTCGTGCGTAAATAAAAAATCCATCACGGTAAGGTTGATAGAATCATTGATTGCTGTTAGTGTGAACTATTTTAAAGTCAATCCAGATAGTTTTATCCTCCGCGTATAAGAAAAAATCACGTATTCACCTTGAGATATCTAGGGCGGCACCATTTGATATACGTGACGTCATAAAGTGCATTCGTGTTAATTTATGTTCACAGATTATTGTTACCAAGTAAATTGTAATATATTGATATTTATTTCGAAAACATCACACTACAATATTGGAAATATTTTATTTTGTTTGTAAATTGGAAATAAAAATAAATAACCTAACGTACGTCATTTGATTTCTAACCAATTTTAATGAGATCCTCGCGGTTTATTGTACATAGATTAGATATGCAAGTAGTCTTTACATTTGGAGTTAACATAAATTACTGTAAAAATTACGTTTTTTAAAGAATTGTGTATACATTACTGCTATATGAGTATTTGGTAACAACGACGAGATTAAAGCAACAACGATGTTAATTTATACATACGTGGTGATCTTAGTTTGACCTTAGTTTGAAATGATGGTTGGATTGAAATGTACACTTCGGTTGTATCAATGAGTATGTACTGACACCCTCGTGTATTTTATTATAATTCGTGTCATTTTACAGTCAGTTAACTGTTCGATGCCAACAACTGATAAAACGAAAACTATGTAGGCCTCGCACGCGATAAAAAGTGACTGTCTAGGCGCGGTGTTACGTAATCGGTAATACCCACGTGTCCACTCTTCATACTGACACATCGCTGTATGCAAGGCACCACAGTTGTATAGTCTTCGACGTCGGAATTTAAGAAATGTTCGCTATATATAAATTTGACCTCGACATTAATGAAATTAAATTGACCAATAATTGTTCCCTGCTCAAAACATTCCTTTCGAGGTCGTAGCTGTCATGACGTGATTAAGTGTATATATTGCGATATTAAACTGACCCCAGCTTGTAATCAACAATGTGTTGAACAATGGGTTACACTGTTGTTTTTATTCAGTCAAACATTTTTTTCTTTCCAGTGATGTTATGCAAACAGTATTTGCGCTAGTCTAGTACTCAACAAACACTTTTGCCAATTGTATTTCTCAACTATATACATAACCAATCCGCAGATGGGAAATTGTTAACAAAAATTAGCAAACGTGTTTTTAAAAAATGTATGTAGTTGGAAGCTCAGCTTGTGAAGTGACTTCATTTGTGAAGACGTATCTTCAGAAATTCAAAACGTCGATGCCAATGTCGGAATAGGTGATGTTTAATGACATCATGATTGATGTTTTGCCATTCCAATGAACTCTTAGTCATACATGACATCGTGTGTCATTATTGACAAAGCCATAGAGTCAAGAAAACTTTCACAATATTTCATTGTTATATCCAAATTTCAACGCATTGTTTAGTCAGGTCTGTTTTGAAAGGGTTACAATTAAAGCCACCCAGCACGGTCGGGTTTTGTATTTTCTTAAACTATTATTTACACTCGTGTTTGTTTATGTTGCGTTGTAGCCATATTGGTTGATTTAGTCGGTAGAGGTCATGATATTCTGAACCTGGCCATGTCTTCACATATGTACACAATTTGGTTCATTATATTGTTTTTTGGTTTCGTAATTGCTAGTATCCAAATACAAATGTGTTTTCAAAATGTTATCAATGAATTAACAATTTGTAAATCTATTGCACCGTTGCTAGGATTACTTTATACAGCGTAATAATACTGAACATATGTATCCCGCCTTGAACACAAACATAGTTCAGAATTTGGAAAATGTCACAATGATTTGACTAAAACTTTTAGCAACGGGCGCTTGTTGGAAGAATTCTGTAAATTGTAATTAGAATATTATTTCACTTATTATATTATTCTTGTGTATATATTTTACCAAGATAAAGGAAACTGCTTACTGTTACTCCCTTACTGCTTTACTGTTTGTACACTTACGCTTTATCATACAACTTTTTATTTGTGTCACTGTTTTTATAATTTATTACATAACAGCCTAAAATGATTTGTTAACTTTCACTGTGGTGTAATAAATGAAATTAGTATTATTATATAATATATACAGTCTGAAGAATCTATGCTTTTACCAAAATAGGTCTGGCATACTAATGAACATCTTAAACGTAAATGTCCACCGAAATCTCACTGAAACCGAGAAGGCCACACGACTTACTTTTGTCCCTCAAATATTGTTTTATTTTCCCCGTCATAGAGTTAACTGTTCCAATGATATATGTAAGCATGGTTTTTGAAACGGTGGACAGGTTGACGGGGCAGAATGGAACATGATTCAAGTTCGTATGTAAAACGAGTCACGTGGTTTTCTCGCTTTCATTTGTGATTAAGATATATTGCCAATTATAGATATTACAAGCGTAATAATGTCATTAAAACATATGTAAATTTAAAAATGCTGGGAAAGTGGAAATAATATACTCATCCATAGTCAAAGAACAGGCGTGAAGCCGAGATGTTTTACCATAACAATGGCAAGTTTTGAACACCTCATAATCACACGATTCTACTAAATTCAGAACATTGGGCCAGGGATAACATACATCTATTTTGGAACACAATAAAAAATAAAAAAGTTATTGCAGCCCAAGAAATTAATCACAAAAAAGTAGGATGTTACAATCTTACTATTATAACATGCAGAATTCATCATTAATTACGTGTGTAAAACCTATAGCAGTAGAACTAAGATTGTTCGAGAAACACGTGCGTGTTTACTATCACTGTTTA